TCACACAAAGGGTCATAAAAACTCCCCAGTATCTCAAAACTCCCACTTGGGATACCGGCCTTTCTCATTGGACAAGCCCATCTTGAGAGGCGGGGATCTTCTCCGACCTTAAAGGCCTCACACCATGTGACCCGCCCAGAGTCTGTAGTTCGGTTAGATTCTAAGATGAAGACATGAGCTAGAACTTCTGCAATCCCCGAAGTACGTGCCAGGCTTCGGCCTTGACTTTTCCATTCACCAAGATTCTCTGACTCAAACTGGTTCTTTTTCATCAACCAACTTCAGCAAAGATCAACTGGGACCTCAGATTGCATCAAACCACTCTTTCAGACAGATGAAACGTGCAAGTATTCAAATTTAGTCTTATTAATTGATGCATTAGGTATCATTTGCACCTTTTTACAAAGGTGTGTTTAAACTAAGAATCTGATGTTTCCTTCAGGCTGTAAATCTGCTGAATATCAAATGGTACCATAGTTTCATATTCTTATTTCTCTTCTCTTTACTGCATTAAGCTTTAACCCTTTCCTATACAAACTGTATGTGTGTGTGTGTGTGTGTGTATGTGTATGTTAGACCAGTTTAAGTGTTTATGTAGTATGTTAGACTAGTTTAAGTGTTTATGTAGTTAATAAAGTCTTACTTGTATCACACTTATCGTTGTTCATTGCTTGCTCATAACTGGAGTCACTTAATCATGCAGATTTATGCTACAAGCTCTGTGTAGAATTGTACAGTAAGAAAGTTATTTCCCTTAACCAGGAAATTAACGTTCTTAGAATTGACAGACAGTTGACCCTGAGAGGTCAAGTAAATATCTACAGCGGATCTAAATATTTATAATTAATTATAACTAGTTATGATTAATTATTCATATTTCCCTATGAGCTGATTCACTACACTGTTTTATTGTTGTTGTGCATTTTAATTAAAAGTAATGAATCCATTTTTTTTGTCTTAAAAGGTGAAAGATGTATAGATGTAAGCAAAACAGACAATTATATTTTATTGTAAAACCTGAAAAGATCGTGAAATCGAAAGTGAAAGCATCTGAAGCCCGGCTTGTAACATGGCAAAAGAGGTAACATTCACAAAATTCAAATCACAAATAATAGTACTGATGAAAAAGAACGGGTTGAATGTTAACTACTTTCGTTTCCATATAACTATAAACTACGATAAAAGTTCATCAGCATGCATTGATTAATAGCATGTTGTAGTGCAAAAAAGAAATCATGCTCGTGCAACCAACTGAGAAAGTTAATAGCAAGAGAGCGACCAGTGGGAAGAATGAGTCTGGGGCCCTGAATTGCACAGCTCCCTCTGTCGATGATCTAGCACCCCCTCAGCACATGCGTTCAAAATTCTCTGGCACCGCCCCTGGTACATCGATGTATTTTTGAAAAGCCAAAATTAAGTTTGTCCAACTCTAAACCCAGTCCCCAAGTAAATTAGGTTATTAAATAAAAAACTAGCAAAACGAGTTGTGCGGTGTCCCCACCACTTTTCAAAGCAAAGTTTTTTAATTAATATAAATGTTAATGAAAGTATGAAAACAGTATAACAGAAATGTTAATGAAAAAAAAATTAAGTATATTTTCGACGCAGTGTTAAAACAAACCCGTAAAATAGACTCCTCAACTCCAACTAAACATTATTTTTAATCTTAAAATGTGCCCATAATTAGGTAATCAGTTTTATATTTCGTTCTGCCAAAACTGTCTGAAATGTTACTGTTTATTAGTTTCGCTTGGTTTGTCATTTTGTATCAGTCAAAATTTATTGATAAGATTCATTCTGTTTATGTGACGTTATTCTTATGGACAAAGGCCACTTTGAATCGAGTATTCACCATTATTAATTAATTATTTTTTGTATATGAAAAGGTAGCAATAAAAAAAAATCTAGTAAAATGTGCAACACTCAAAAAAAGGTTATTTTAATAGTTTTCTCTTTTTCATTTTACATATTTTTTTGTATTCTTTGTAGTTTTACATATTTTATCTTAAATAATTTCCTACATCAAATCAATCTATGCATTGGTGGGGAGTACAAAAACACAAATGTAAAACATAGATCTTCGAGAGAGAGAGAGTGAGAGAAAAAAATATATTTATTTGTTCCCTGGTTAGAAAGCAGACAATTATATTTTATTGTAAAACCTGAAAAGATCGTGAAATCGAAAGTGAAAGCATCTGAAGCCCGGCTTGTAACATGGCAAAAGAGGTAACATTCACAAAATTCAAATCACAAATAATAGTACTGATGAAAAAGAACGGGTTGAATGTTAACTACTTTCGTTTCCATATAACTATAAACTACGATAAAAGTTCATCAGCATGCATTGATTAATAGCATGTTGTAGTGCAAAAAAGAAATCATGCTCGTGCAACCAACTGAGAAAGTTAATAGCAAGAGAGCGACCAGTGGGAAGAATGAGTCTGGGGCCCTGAATTGCACAGCTCCCTCTGTCGATGATCTAGCACCCCCTCAGCACATGCGTTCAAAATTCTCTGGCACCGCCCCTGGTACATCGATGTATTTTTGAAAAGCCAAAATTAAGTTTGTCCAACTCTAAACCCAGTCCCCAAGTAAATTAGGTTATTAAATAAAAAACTAGCAAAACGAGTTGTGCGGTGTCCCCACCACTTTTCAAAGCAAAGTTTTTTAATTAATATAAATGTTAATGAAAGTATGAAAACAGTATAACAGAAATGTTAATGAAAAAAAAATTAAGTATATTTTCGACGCAGTGTTAAAACAAACCCTTAAAATAGACTCCTCAACTCCAACTAAACATTATTTTTAATCTTAAAATGTGCCCATAATTAGGTAATCAGTTTTATATTTCGTTCTGCCAAAACTGTCTGAAATGTTACTGTTTATTAGTTTCGCTTGGTTTGTCATTTTGTATCAGTCAAAATTTATTGATAAGATTCATTCTGTTTATGTGACGTTATTCTTATGGACAAAGGCCACTTTGAATCGAGTATTCACCATTATTAATTAATTATTTTTTGTATATGAAAAGGTAGCAATAAAAAAAAATCTAGTAAAATGTGCAACACTCAAAAAAAGGTTATTTTAATAGTTTTCTCTTTTTCATTTTACATATTTTTTTGTATTCTTTGTAGTTTTACATATTTTATCTTAAATAATTTCCTACATCAAATCAATCTATGCATTGGTGGGGAGTACAAAAACACAAATGTAAAACATAGATCTTCGAGAGAGAGAGAGTGAGAGAAAAAAATATATTTATTTGTTCCCTGGTTAGAAAGAATAGTCACCACAGAAATTAACAAACATGAACTTGGGAACATAAAACTGCTGTTGTTCTTGCTGCATCTTTATTTAAATGCTTTAAATATTTTAATATAAAAGTGTATGCACTGCAAGAGTTTGAATGCAAGTTAAAATAATTAAATAGTGTGTGCATGATTTTCAGAAAGTTCACAGTTACCCTCTTAAAAATAAAGGTGCTTCACGATGCCATAGAAGAACCTTTTTGGTCTAAATGGTTCCATAAAGAACCTTTATTATCTGAAGAACCTTTCTGTTTCACAAAAGGTTCTTTGTGGCAAAAGAAGATTCTTCAGATTATAAAAAGGTAAGAAAGAGATGGTTCTTTGTGGAACCAAAAATGGTTCTTCTATGGCATCGCTTGAAGAACCTTTTGAAGCACCTTTTATTTTTAAGAGTATATTTTGTTTACCTTTTACTTACATTTTTTATGCATACACTCTCTGTATTAAGTATGCACTTTGAATCTTGCAGGCCAGAGTCTGTCTCTGAGACAGCTTGGGATATGCGGCCCTGCTCCTCGCCGTGGTCTGAGCTTCTGCGCTGAGACTGGACTCAGTCATCATACACAGCTCAGCGGAGCAGACCAAATCCAGAACGCAGGGGGCATATCTCCTGACTGCGCCATGTTATGGGTTAAGACACACGGACGGGACGCGCAGCTGTCCAGCCGGTCCAACTCTGCTTTAACACTCACAGACACAGAGCAGGACAACAAATCGGATCAGGAGAACGGTAAGTCCACCTGTGTTTCATTCTCAATTGTAACCTTGCATTGAGCAAAATTCCCCGATAGTTAATGCTGGTGACGTAAAACTGCAAAAGTGGGAAAATACCCCCAGAGCAAGTCAAGGCAAAGTCACCTTGAGTCACTAAAGGGTAAGGATGTAATTGGTTAGAGCTAATAATCGGTAGCCAACAACTGGTTTAAGTGACTGTATTATTAATGGATCGACTGGTTATATTTGGAGCCTAAGGGGCACTGTGGGAGTTATAGGCATTTCAGAGAAAATAACAATTTCCTGAAGCATATGAGCAAACGGTTCAGAGAACTGCTAGACACTTCCTCTGGGCCTGTGCCGAATTATAGATGGCTTTGTCACTCATATCCATGTGCGGATCCACAGGGTGTTGCTGGGCTTGCAAACATTCGGTGGATGAAGAGGGGCCCACTGGTTTGAAGTGAAAATTGGTGTGCGATGGAAACCTTAATGCCTTATGGATTAGGGAGTGCATTTGCAAATTGTCTATATATGAAATACCTGCATGTCAAAGCACATACATCTGTATTTTAATTTGATTTTTTACTTTTTTTTTTCTGGGGATGCATAATTAGCTTTTTTCCTGCAGTGAGCATGCTGGACTGTTTTGGACAAAGTTTATTGTTGTGAAGTATCTAGTTGGTTTTGTTTTCAAAGAAAAAAAAAAGAATAGTCTGTGCCAAGACATTTTTTATTCACATTCATATATTCACTACTGAGGTATTGCAGCATATACAATATTAAAGTAAAGGTTTTAAAATGGCCATGCCATGCAGTGGATATTTTTGACAACATGGGTATTTGTTGCAGAAAATGTTGCTTTAAAAAGAAAAGGGAAAAAATAGGGGAGTGTAATCCTACTCATTGTAGGCTAAACATATCTAATGTAGGATCTGTAGTGTATCATGTTCAGCGTTCACTGCATTGATCAAAGGAAACCACATCTGAAATGCACACGCTCAATTTACATGTCACATTAGACACTATTAACTGCTGCTTTCTCCTCGTTTGGTGTGATATAATGTTTAACATAATGCAATAATTCACTCTTGAGAAGCTCTTGTTAGACCATAGTTTAGAATATGTACACATTTGTGACTAAAGGATAAACCAAGTGATATACCTCTATTTATGTTCATTAACATTTAATATTTAGATTTAAGCAGTGGGATGCAAAAGTCTGCGTACACTTTGAAAATCTGGGATATAAAATCTAATTTAAAAGTGGAAATAAAAGCTTTAGACTTTGAATTCTATTATAAAATAAATGGATATTATTGACATCAAATGAAAAGGACATGTTTCTGATTCTGCACTATTTCTAGGCCAAATAAGCACATTTGTGACACTGATCATGTAGACTCCTTTGTTTTTTATATATTTCTAGGATTTCACAGCTTGTAAAAAGTCAAAATTCTTCAAAGAGCTCTTGTATCACTCTCAAATTATACTAGATATCATATTATATGTTATTATATGTTATTGTATGTATAATGAAAAATAATTGTATTTTATTAGAAAAATGACTAAAAAATATCACTGGTAGTCTCAAACTTTTTGAGCCCACTGTGTGTGAAATGTGTTCCTTGTAGGGAACTTGTGTATAAGGCTACAAAATAGCCTTGTGTTTTAAAAAAAATACTCTGGCAGAAGTTCTATAAAATGTTTGACTCAGACATGCAGGTGAGCAGTAGTATTTGACCAACATGTTCAAAGCTATTTTTCTTCTTTTTCTTTGCTGTGGATTAGGTCTGGGACTTGGTCCGTTTGAGTCAAAATATAATGATGTAGCTGAGAGCGGGCTGTCTGCTTCACAGCACTCCATTAAGAGAATGAGGTCAAGTTTCTCTGCACAGTCGTTCAGCTTCTGTATCTCTCCCCATCTTTCCCGAAATCTCTCCAGTCTGCTATGCAAAATATGCTAAAGCTGTGTTATAGCACTGTGCTCTGTGTATCCAGTCTCCTCCAGAGGGACTAGTCATTATTATATAAAGTTATAGATGACTCTGGAGAGCGACTATGATTATTTATTAGTCAGTCGGATGTTAAAATGTAAAAAGGGTGTTTTTCATCAATAATTAGCCTACATTTTGTACAGTCAGTGTTTGATATATTTCTAGGGTTTCACAGTTTGTGGTCTTTGGGTTGAGCAACCCTTTGAAACTTTAATGGTTACATAACTCCACAAATATTTGAATAAAAATTAAATGTTAAAAATGTCTTTACAAATTTGACGCAAACAGATTTATTTGTCTGTAGTCCAGGGTCTCTAACTGAAGGCCTCTCTCTGTGAAGAATTCATGCAAATGTGAGACACTGTGTGATTTACTGTAACAATTAAGCTGCACTTTTAAAGGTGTGGGATGAGTTTCCACAGAGACCTCATTGAGGCTGACTGTAAATTGTTATAAAACGTGTCTTTGGCAACCCATATAAAGCATAGTCTGAATTTTAGAGTTTATTTTTGCCTATTAAAGCAATTTCTTTGTTCTTTTTGCAAATTAAAATCAGTCATTTTTAGATTTAAATCTGTCATACTGTAATTCCAGAATCACTGTGGATGAATAGACAATACCACATTCTTAATTTTCCCCCTGCGTTTGCATAAAACCAATCACTCTCATTACATCAACAAAGATGACTGCACCACAGCAACGCTGACTGAACAGCACGCCGTTGCAACGGTCTTGTTTTGTTGCATTGCATTGCACCGCTTGCTTGTGGTGTATACACAGTGTTGCACGGCACCTTTGAAAAGAAATCAGCAGCAGTAAAAATGCTGTGGGTAATGCGCTCGGAGCTGCTCAGCTGCAGGGTCAAAAGCACTTCTTAAAACATCATCCTTTTAGCACACCTGTTACACTTCCATCTCCATCGCTCTCTAAAATAATATATAATGATATTTCTCTGCCTTGTGTATCATGTAGTTTTTGCCTTTGTTTGCCATAAACTAAATGAATAGGCTATATGCAGATTCATATTTCATAGATTATTATCTACGTATCTTCATTACTCATTAAGCAGCAATGACCCCTTTCTAAGATTTATTTATCTGCTATGATTTTCGGTGCATTCTGTCAGCGTCTGACATTTTGATTGTCCTTTACTACCTGCATTAGTAATTATAAAAGTAAATTTGTAGCTGCAAGGTTGACCATATAAATGTAAGACAGCACATGATTGCATCTCACTGAGAAAAAAAATGACAGAAAAAGGAGCATAATGCTTTTGGGAGTATTTATAGAATATTATAAATGTATTTGTGTATATTATTAATAAATAAGTAAATATAATATATTTATTTAATGCTTTATTAGGATTGTAGCAAATTGTCTATAAATATATAAATAAATGCATTTATTATAAATTATTATATCTTAGAAATTATTTATTTATTTACAGATCTAATCATGAAAACTAAATGCATTTTGGCTGTTTAGATATGTAAAATTCACCATGTCACAAATGGAGATTTGGGAGCTTTGTAATCCATGTGTGAACAAGCAATCATGGATGAAACATGTGGATTGAGCAATCTCAAAACTCAGATACTAATGGGGCAGAGTGAGCATTTCACAGAATTTTGCTGCCCCACATTAGCATTGCATATAGCAGAGGAATAGTAGTTTGGATTTAGACCTGTTTTGCACATATGTTTGTGGCCAGTATGTAAGTGAAATGTGCACATGACCAATTGGATTGAAGTGACCAAATATAAATACTCTCCTGTTCACAGTGAATTAATCTATCCTCATATGAGGCATTTAAAGGGATAGTTCACCCAAAAATGTTGTTCCAAACCTGTATGACTTTCTTTCCTCTGAAGAACATAAAAGAAGATATTTTGAAAAATTTCTCCTTTTTTCAGATATCTTCAATCAGATATTTTATATCAGAAGAAGATATTTTGAAGAATGCTGAAGTCCAAATCACATTCAACAGAATAAATAAAGCCATACAGGTTTAAAACGACTTGAGGGTGTATAAATAATAAGAATTTAAATTTTTGGGTGAACTATTCCTTTAAGTAGAAGAAGAGAAGAAGAAGAGTGAGTTTGTATTGCCAGGTATGTTTACACATACGAGGAATTTGTTTTCATGGGCCACGGAGGCAGCCATCAGCGTCGGCACCATTGTGCATTCTCATTGTTCCTAGTCTGAATGCATAGACTAGGAACTCCACCTCTCTTTTGACATAAATACAGTATAACCCCTGTAGAGGGTCATATATCAGAATTTGTTTTAGCTATAAACCATATTCATTGCTGGTATAATTTAAGAGGATCCATTTTTAATGAAGTGCTTGAAGATATACAGTATATCGCAGTCTGAGACCTAACGGCTCAGGGAACATCCAAACAAGGCTCCTTTCAAAATAGGCAATAAAACAATATTTCAGCGGCGCTACTGCTGTGAATACGTATGATTCTTTGCTTTCTCTAAGCTTCAACTGGATGTTCATGTGAAAGTGTTTCTCCCTGATATTCATTTGAATCTTGTCCTTCATACAAACTTTTATGAAGTTGGAAAAATGATATTTTCAACCAAGAACATAAAAGTGAAAAAGTAAGAACTTCTTGTTCTGAATAAAACACTTTATTATCAGACAAGGACAGTCACTGAGTTGAAAGATTACTTTCATGACTAAGTGAACGTGTGCATATTTAAGAGAGCTGTAAAGGGAATTAATTAAGGTTGGAGACTTACTTATTAAGTGAACCTTCAAGCAAGACCTCCCACATACAATTTTTTTTTTAATGTCATCAAAATAGATCCAATGTATGAGCCAGGTTTAGTTTTTAATGTTAGAAGAACTTTTTTCCCCCTTAAAGGAACTTTAGCTAATTTGTATTCCTGTAAGGGATGTTAGCAGCCTCTACAGCCATGGCCAAGAAAGACATTGTGACAAAAGTCATCACTGTGAACAAAAGTTAGAGAAGCTCTTCATTTGGTCAGGAAATAGCCTGGAAACCCGGCTGCCCCCCGCTTTTGTCTGGCCTGGTTGGTATTATCAGAGGATAAATGATCCCTATCAGGATCTTCAGTGCCTGTGAAGCTTTCTCTCTGTTTTTCTTTCTCTCTTCCTTGTGCGTGTGGGTGTTTGCACTGTGTTTT